TTTTGCTGCTTGCTGTATGGAGCATGTTTTGGAAGTTCCCACCCTAATCGCTCCATCCCTACGTCCCCTTTCCTTGGTGTAATCATAGAATGGGTTGGGTTGGAAGGGACCTTTAAAAGTCTAGTCCAACCCCTGCCAAGGGCGGGGACACCTTCAGTTCGGTCAGGTGCACTGCCTGGAAAAATCTCATAATGCCATCGGAGAAGTAAACACATGGTTGCATTAGTATAAATGCAAGATCCACCTGCAGAAGGATTGCAAAGGAGTGATGTGAGAAAGGACTTCCAGAGCATTTGGAGAGGAGCAGATGCCTGTGGTGACCCTTGGTGTGGGGGACAGGTCCATGGGTGCCAGCACCCTGCGAGTCAGGTACTGAGCCCAGCTGCTCCTGCCACACTGCTCCAGCAACAGCCTCTAAGAAGAGTTATTTCCTCTCTGCAGGGTACCCTGTGGTGTGTTGGACTACAGTCAAAATCAATATAGGAAGCAGTAAAGTTAAAGATCACACAGCTGAAATGGTGATTCCTGAGGCAGAAAATTCATGCTCAGGATCCACACTTGGAGTCAGCTTGGCGAGCTGGGAGGAATGATCACACATGTAGGGAAGATGAAGTGAGCTAGTGGTTGCTTGGCCGAATAGATCATCAGTAATTGCCTTCATGTGTAAACAAATCAATGTCCAAAATAGTAACGTGCCTCCCTGTTGCTCTGAAGCAGCCAGTTTGATGGAGGCGAGAATTCAGCAGAGCCCTCAGGAATTGCAGATGTGTATTGTGTGCCCAGGAAGGCACAAGTGTGAGTAGATGCTTTTTTAAAAAATAACTCATGGAGGAAAAAGGGGAAGTGGATAGAAACGACCATAAATTATAAATGAGGCTTTGCAAAAATTACAAAGGGAGAAAAAGGACATTGGCACCCAGCAGTGTCTGGAATAACAGCCGTGAGTTTGGCTCTGTGGTGAACCACGGGGATCTTGACAGTGTTTGCTGGTCGTGTGGGTAGGAGAGGCAGAAAAGGGAAGGCATGTGCTGAAAATACTTCTGCCCTCTGTTTAAAAATGCAGAGGATGTTGTTATATCACAGAGGGAGGAATAGATTGGTTCTGTTCCAGTAGAAATTTGGAAGTTTGTTAGGCTGTGATTATGAAATCCAGAGTGTTGTTGTTTGAGTCGGCACATCAAGTAATTCACAAGCCAGTGCTTGAGGTGTGCTGGCCATGTGCTCTGCACTGTCACTGCTGACCCTCTGTGGGCCTGGGAAAGTGGAGGAAGTTACCAGGAGGACGTGAGCATGGAGCCAGGCATGGCAGTGCGGGGGGACCTGCGCCGGGAGCTGGAGCCCTCCAGCTTGGCACAGCTCTTGGGCACAGCAGGCTCATGAAAGGGGCTGGAGGACGATGTAATTGGTTTTCTGCATAAGGTTTGGAGAACTGAGCCAGCCAAAATAACTTTCTCTCTTTTGATGAGATTACAAGTAGAGCCAATACAGATAATAAAGTTGGTGTAATCATGTGACTACATGTTGCATGGCAATTTAATTAAGAAACTGCCAGCACACAAAAAAATCAACACAGTGTACACTAAAAGGATTAAATCCCAACCAATGTGCTTCTGAACAGGAATTTATTACCAACTAAGAGAAGCCACAGCTGTTTGAGCTGCCTTTGTGGTTCCTTCCTTCATCTCCCACTCGTGTCTCTGCCGGTGCTTGGTGTGGCCATGTGTCCCCCGGTGTGGGGGTCCCTTTGGCTGGGAAAGAGGGCACAGAGGAGGAGGAGCAGGAGGGGAAGGGCAGGCTGAGCAAAACCATGGGGCTGCCAGAACAGGAAGGAGCAAGGATTGATGATGGGATCTGTGTGGAACAGGGAAATGAGATCAGATACCAGTGCAGCCTGAGGGAGGCTGCAGAGATGGTTGATTTGAACCCAGCAAGGGGGAATGGGAGGAAGTCCCTTGCAAGATGGTGAAATGTTTTAGACTGTCAAGTCAGCTTGAATCAGCAGTGCAGAGTGGGAGCGGATCTGGGGTGGTGGTAGGGTGTCTCCTCTCCTAGACCCCCAGGCAGACGCAGGCAACGGGGATACATCCGTGTGTGTCTGTGCAGCCTAGCAAGCCCCAGGCTAATGCCTCTCTGGCCACTTCTGTCCGCAGGTCAGTCCTCCCCAGGTCTGTTGGTAACCCTACAGGGAAGGGGTGAGCAGGGCTGTGGTCCAAAACCAGCCCTGTCCATGGCTCCTGGGGCCGTGCCAGCTGCCCCTGCTCCCACAGAGACTTCTGCCTGCTCTCACTGCTCGCTCCGGGCAGTGCGCTGCAAAACCTGATTTATGCAAAATCAAATTGCATTTCATAGCACAATTTAGCTCTGCTTTGCCCTTTTATGTTTTAGGGTTGAACTGGCAGAACTCTGCTGTCTCTGCCACAATCTTCTGTATCAGAGTAGATTTGATAGAGATAGAAATGATCCATTTATTTACTTTTATTGATGAGCCTTACAGTAGCACATGAGCTTGCAATGCAGAACTCTGGAGCAGCTATGTGAAAACAGGTTTTCTCTGAGCTCCCTGCGTGGCCAGGACTGTTTTTCAAACCTACAGTATTGAGCCAGACTTTGTGCCTTTGAAAGGTGCTGTTTCCAGGCACTAGAGACAGGGAAGTGAAGTGAAAATACCTTTGGTGTAGCTCTTTGTACAGCTACAAAAGAAATACTCACAGGCACAGAAACAGATTTATTGCACCAAGGATGAAGTTGTGGTGGCTGTTGGAGGTACCTCCACAGGCAGTGTGCTGGTTCCAGACCACAGACTGACAGATGTGGTGAGGTTTTGTCTTTTCTGAGGCTTGTGCATGCAGTGAGATGGATCAGAATGGGAGCTGGAGTTGCCCTGATTCCAGTTCATCCCAGTTTCCTGGCTTCTGTTCATGACTCTTCCTTTGGCCCCCATGTGTCTGGCACTTGCCCTCCTTCGCCTCCTAGCTGCAGATTTTCAGTCGGTTTGCGGAGGGAGAGGATAACCCGCGGGGTTGTTTGCAAGCAGCACACTAAGAATAATCACTGTGCTCCCGCCGTGCTCCTGCTGGGGTGTTGGGATGATAAATACACATGTAAATGTAGAAAATACCAGAGATAAAATGGGTGACAAATGGGCTGTGCTGCCTGCGCTCTGCAGAGGGAAGGAGATGCTCACGGTGTATGTGCAGAGGCCAGGGGTGATTTTAAGCTCTGCTTTTATAACTGTAGGATAATAAGGCTGCGTAAGGAGCCATGTAGTTTTAAATTATGCCAAACACAAGTTATTTCTTTACCTTGGCTTTCATAAATTCAAACAAGTGCATAAATAAAGGTGAGAGGTGTTTTACAGAAGGCTGAAGCTTCACTGCCTTTTAACGCCGACATTTGGGCATCATTTATGGCCCAGCTGAGCACCACAGAGCAGAGTCATAAAAATGATTCCCCTTAACATCTTGCCTTTGCAGCTTACACACACCCAGCAACCCCCCCAAACTTTTTAGCTTCCGAAGTGGGCAGGCTGTGGCTCTGTGCGTGTGGGCATCGTGACGTGCTGGATGAGCTCACCCGCGGGAAGAGCCTCGTGACTGTGGGGAGGATGACTCGAGGGAGGCTTGGCTGCTCCACAGGGTGTCGATGCTCAGGGAAGGAATTCAGCTGAGAAGCTCTGTCTGTGTTGCCCTTATGGTGTGTTCGACCGTTGCCGTGTGGTGCGCAGGACCCGCCGAGTGTTGCTCGGGGCAGGAAGCAGGACCGCGGCCAAGCGCCAGGAGTGATGTCGCACCTCTGTCCTGTGCATTTCAAACATCTATTTTGTCATCTCCTAATTAGGCTGTCGCTGTCTGGGTTGCTCATCTGACAGCTGGAGCTTTGGGCTTTCGGCTTTCCTGCACTTAGCTCTGACCATGGCAGGTCACATTTTCTAAATGCAGCAGGAAGACAAGTTGGGGCCAAATACTTGACGTTATTTATCTTGACTGATTTGCTCCATGGAAAAAAAATATTGCATAGTCACATTTCTGCATACAAATACAAATAGAGCTCCCTGCAAATTTAGCTCCAAGTTCATACCACAGGAAAAAGAATGTTCCAGAACATGCTAATGATAATTTAGTATTTTAAAATTGTAAGTCTGTGATCTGAATTTCTAATACTGCAGTGCTGTTGTTCTGTGGGGTAATCAGGAAGGGAGACTCAGCGGAAGCATTTGTGTGGTAACAGCTGCCCACATGCCCAAGCACTGGGAGCAGGTATTTCGTGGCTGCAGATGTTCTGTGTTTGCAGGCTTTTCCCCCTGCATCCGCCGGGAGACAAGAGCTGTCTGTAAGTCAAGGTTTTGAAGGGTTATGTCTGTGGTCCTGCTGTAGAAGCTTTTAAATCTTTCTTTACATTTTGCAAGTCTCAAGGACTGCTTTGGCTGCTGCTGCTGGGGTGACCTGGGAATCTCCTGACCCTCACCTGCCAGTGAGCCCCAGCCATGCTCAAAGGCAGCATGAAACCTGCTTGTGTGTCCCTCATGGGAGGTTTTGTACCCCTTTCATGTTTTATCATTCCACAAGTTTTGGGGCTGTGGATTTGGTTCGTGTGTGTGCCTCTGACTCCTCACAATGATGTCCTGTCTCTCCACCCTGCCCTGCCATGGAAATGGTCTGATAGCAAATACTGCCCTTCCCTCGCTGCCTGGTCCCTGCTGTGTATTGGAGGGGCTGCAAGCAGCAGGATGTGCAGAGTCGACAGGGTGTACCATTTCTTCTGCTAATGGCAGGTGTCACAGTCACCCCACAGCTTGTTTTGTCAGGGTGCAGAGCTCTCAAAACCTCTGCAAAGTGCAAATGCTCCTCACCTGGGTATTTCCCCCTTTTCTGCTCCAGTGTTGGATACGTACATCAAGGGGATGTGAAATCTGACTGTGGGTTGGTGTGGTAAGCACAGCAACAGCCCTTCTCACTTCTTGTAACTTCAGGTCTTCTCTTCCTTTCCTTCTTGTTTTCCAGAGTCGGAAACATGCCAGCAAAGTGCGCCTCTATTACATGCTTCACCCCGTCGATGGAGGCTGCCCGGCGAAAAAGCTGCGGTCAGAAAATGTGGGTATCATCCAAGTCCCTGTTTATTCAGCTGCTTTTTGAATCTTTGGCTACAGCATTCTCTCAGTTACAGCCACAGATGATCAGGTGCCCAGAGGTAACATTTAGATTAGCTGAAATGCGAAGTAACTGGAAATAATTTTCAATAAACCACACGAGAATTATTATGTGCATCAGCAATGATTGTGTTTTTAGTTATTCAGATGTTCTTTCAAAGGGAAAAATATGCTGATAGCAAATACCCAGGTTTTACTCTATTTCAGAGTGATGGCTGGGTTTGCTGGTGAGCACCAGGAGCAGGCAGTGGGGTGATGGCTGTGGGAGGCTCATGCCTCCAGGTGTGGACTGACAGCCACTCTGGGGTGCTGCTGGCAGGGCCTTTGGGGTTGGTCTGCATGGAGCAACGCTGAGGTCACTTCCAGACCCCTTCACCCAACTTCTGTGGGTGACACTGCTCCCAAGGGCAAGGGGCACTGGGCGGCAGGGAACGCTCACATCTCGTCAGCATTTGGCAAGCAGTGTGCTGCAGCAGTGCCATGGATGGAGCTGTGGATGTAGAATCATACAGTTTTTAGGGGTTGAAGTGGACCTTACAGATCATGTAGTCACAAACTCCATCTGGACTTGCTCCAAGAATTCCATGTCCTTCTTATGTTGAGGACATCAGAACTGTGTGCAGTATTCCATGTGGGTCTCACAAGAGCAGAGTAGAGGGGGAGAACACCTGGACAGTGTGAGGGGAGCACTGTGATGCAGCTGTGGATGTGCAGCAGTCCCATGTACGGACCTGCTGTAGGTACATGTGGCACATGCTGCTGTGGCCTCCTCAAGGGTGCAAGTTTTGCCCAAAGAATCTGACAGGTCCTTCACACAGTAATTAAAACTTTAGTGAACTTTTGTGTTGCACACAAGGTAATTGCAGGTCCAATCTGCCCATTGACAACAGGAACTCACAGTGATTTTATTGAGTTTTTAATGGTGGTGTGAAAGGTGCAGTGAACAGGCACATACAGACTGGGAACATGGTCCTCTAAGGAGTTTGATTATGTCTAACAAGGAACCACATACTGTGCATGCACCTCAGCACAAGGATATGGAGGACAGAGAACCATCAGGCTTCAAGTAAGTGGAAGTTGAACTATTTCCCATTTGTTTTGTGAAAGGCAGTGTGGATAAGGAATGTAATTCTGTGTTTGCTGATGCTTGTGCCAAGGGCAGACCTAATTGAGGGTGGATTATCACATCCTCATGCTCTAGGTGAATGCTAGGCTAGACCAGACCTAAAGTCTAAAATTATTTGTGTCATAAAAATGCAGCAGGGAAAATCTGCCAACATCGACAACTCAAAGTAGGCCTGTTGCTAATCAGCTATTATCCAAGCCTTTGCGTTTAGAGAGAGCAGAAATATTTAGGACATCTCTAACACTGCACAATAACATCTCTGCCATGTACACATGTGGTGCCCAATCCCAGCAGTGTCACTCGGGCCATGGCTCAGTGACTTCACTGACTATTAGAAACAAGCCATGAAAACCAGTGAAATTCGTGTAGAAGTATCTACTTCTATAAAAGGAATACTAGCCTTTTTTGCATTAAACCCATTATGTGGCCATTGGGTTTGTGTCCTGCTGACCACAAAACTAACACCTTGTCCTTCTGCCACATGGCAGCCGGAGGGAGAGGCAACCATGGTGGTGGGTACTTGGTGCAATGGGATCAGGAACAGCATTTGCTTCCTGACCTTCCTGTGAGGCGAAGGGTGATGTTGACTGTTGTTCGAGGACTGCAAAAACACTGCATTCCCAAAACACCCGTTAGCCCTTCGGAGTAAGAAGTAGGAGGCTTATACAATTAGTCTTGCACTAGATAACGACTTGGTTGTTGTGCTCTTCATTATTGGTTTAATTTTGTGTGGAGGAGGAAAAAAACCCTCATGTTTTGACCTTTCATTTTAAACTTCTGCTTAACATTTCAGCTGAAAGTAATCTGAGAAGGTGTCAGGGCCTTGCTGAAATCGGGTTGTTTTCTCAAGTCCCAGGATTGATGAATCAGGTTTAATCAGCCTTTTCTCACTGCCTTTAACTAGCAGGACCTCGTTTAGGACCAGACATGATGAAAAGGTCCAGTGTGTTATGAAACACAATTTTTTGGGATGGGAGAAAAGCCTTCAAATCCTTTCTAGCGCTACTTGTACTGTGAGATAGTAAATTGCTTTAAACAGCTTCATCTTCCTTAAAGAGGAAAGGGCTCATAACAGCGAGGATGAATGGTTTGAGGGAAGGTAGCAGGATATTAGGTTCTGTTGCTGAGGTGATATGTGTCCCACGAGGCAGTGCGGGGGGTGGTGGAGCCAAGGGTTTGTGCCTTGCTGCAGCTGCCTCCAGAGGCTTGGCCTTGGCTCCCAACCTGCAAGGAAATAACAGTCCTTAAAGCTTCAGGATTTGCTGCATGCTGTATCTGAAATCTTCAGCACCTCCACCGAGGCTGAGAGGAAACAACTGGTTTTGGGGCCAGCGTTCTACTGTGTCATTTGTACCTGCTTTGTTTCTAACCAAAGCATCAAGTATTGGTTTAGTGAAAGAAGTTAGTGATGGAAGACTCAAATGCATTCTCTGACAGGTTTAAATGCTCACTGAGCCACAGCTGGGCAGTGGTAGCCAGAGTCTCCCAGGTCACATCATCCTCTGTGGACTGCCTATGTCTCTGTCCTTGCTGGAGCAGGGACTGTGGGACACATCTGACCTTGTCACACCCCAGCACTTAGGGCTGGTTGTTCCTAGGGACATCCAGGGCCTAAGGGGCTCCAGACTTAGTGTTTCAGCTTTAGAAAGCCATAAACTGGTGCTTGCTCTTTGCTTGTGCCATGAGAAAAGCAAGCTCCAGAATGGAAATGGCCTGGATTTCCCAGAGTGTTGCAGAAAGCAGCTCTGTAACAACAACACCTTCGTGCACAGAAAACTAACTCCAATTTAAAAGTTACTTTCCAGTGCTTTGAGGGCTGAGGTTTATACTCCTTTATTCAAGGATTTGTATCATCTTTTCTTCTTAGTAAAACCTAGGAAATGAAGACAGCAGATTTGTATCTGTAGAATAAAAATCCTTAATTTTCTGTGGATTGCTTAAGGAACATCCAGCAAAGGACTGCAAGTGCCTGTCCCTGTGTGAGGATTATGCCTTTTAGCAGCTTGTTAACAGGCAGACAAATAACTGAAGTTCATTCTGTTGGATGTACTAGGCTAACTTTGAAGTTTCTAATGTTACCAAAATTAGGCTGGCTCGGCACAGCCACGGAGTGCGGGAAAAGGAGAGAAGTCAGTGTTGGGAGATGGATGCTTTAACTCTGAGCTTGTGGTGTGTTCTGTTGTGTTTCAGTTTGTGTGAAGCCAGTGGCTCTGTGCTGCATTGTGGTGAAGGCTGGCGAGACAGGATCAGCTGGAGAAGGCTGCAGAAACAAAGAGTGGAAATATTCCTTGTCTGACTCTGGCAGCACAGGGTTTGGGAGCTGCTATGTGTGTTTGTGTTAGCTCAGCGGAGCTGTCGGTGCCTGTTCACTGCTTCGGCGTGAGCCGGCACGGGAGCAGGGATGGGTGGACACACACGAGTGTGGAGCATCCACGGGGCTCCTGCACAGAGCCCTGTGCCCCAGCTCGGGTGTCCTGTTGACAAGGCTGCACCGTCCTGCCAGCTCCATGTCATTCAGCGGGTGACAAAAGACACCCTGATCAGCTTACCCCAGCCCCTCCAGTTACAGGTAAAACAGCCGCTGACAAATGAGAAGGCATAATTACCCTTCAGGGCTGGAGCAGCCTGGAACGGCCCTGGCTCTGTGCGGAGCTTTGGGTGGCGGAGGAGGGAAAGGGCAGAGGAGTTTCCATGCTGCTGCTGGACTCTACGAATGTGGGTAAATGTTTAATAACTGCCCAGCCTAAACACCTCCTGCATCCTGCTGATGAAGAGCAGCACTTGGTGTATGAAACAGGTTGTTAGGGAGCAGAGGTCTGTCACCTGTGTGTAGAGGGACTCACAGACACAGCAATACTTTGGGGATGCCCCTCGTCCTGCGGGAGGCAGAACCCCCTACCCATGCATTGAGGTGCTCACCCAGAGACTTGGGTGAACCCAGAGGAGGTACCTAGTGAACCATGGGTCAGTGTAAATGGGACCCTGGGCTCTACTTGAGATGTCAGAGGGGTCTTTGAGAGCCTTTTGATTATTTTTTTTAGCTGCAAGTCTAGCTGAGAAAGTAGGTTGGAAAGGAAAAAATGTCACTGAAGAGCAGCTCTGGCAGAGGAAGAGACCCTGGTGCATTAACACCGAAGTGTATCAGCTTTTCAAACAAGCTCTGTTGGAAGTTCTTTATATGTTGCCACTGCTGATGATCAATAGAGTCTGGAAATTTTTTACTCTGCTCTTAACTTTCAAGTGATTTCTCTTTGAAGACATAAAATATCTTGAGAGAAAGCTATTTAAAAGAAGTGCAAATTACACTCAGAACAGTACTAATCACCTCTTGAGATTTCTCCCTAAGGTTTAAGCTGATTTACAGTTATCAACAACAAAAAAGTGATGAAAATCTGTCGTTTTTCTAACAGTGCTTTTTGGGGGGGAGGAAATGACCTTCAGTAGTGGGTCAGGTGTCCACTCTGTGGTAGGTTCGCCCAGGGCTGGTGTTGGATCTTGCTGGGGAGACCTGTGCAATTCCAGCTGGTTCATTTGCTTCTCCCACCTGCACAGAGGGTTGTGCCTCCCCAGTCCTGTCCCCCCAGGTGTTTTGGAGTCTCTTACAGAAGTGTGGCAGGAGGAAGCTACAGTGTCGGATGTCAGGGAAAGTTCCTGGTCTGTGTGACTCCCTCAGCCAGAGGCCAGGAATAAAGGCTGAGGGAAGGGAGACTGGGGGATGTGCCAGGAGCCCCACAGCTGTGGGGGACACGGTGACAGGCTGAGCTCCCAGCACAGAGGAGAGCAAAGGGAGTCAGAGGCATCCCCAGGCTGGGCAGGGCTGGGACCAGGCAGGAGCGAGGCTGGGAGAGACAAGGAAGGGAACCCCCTTGGCAGCCATGGCCTTGGCATAACAACCTGGATTCCTCTCGTGTTTCTCGTGACTGTTCTCGATGGGCTTATACAGCTCTTTTTTTTGTCTGTGTTTTTGTCTCCACCCAGGGCAGTGATGGTGACTCAGTGGATAAGAACAAATGCTGCACACTATGTAACATGTCCTTTACCTCAGCAGTGGTGGCCGAATCGCATTACCAAGGGAAAATCCATGCCAAAAGGTTAAAACTGTTGCTAGGGGAACAACCAGCATTAAAGGCCACAGGTAGGTGCAGAGGCAGCGAGTGGAGCAGGAGGGGTGGCATGGGCTGGCCATGCCGAGGGGCTCGGCTGAGGTGCCGCTCGGTGTGTGCGGGCAGAGCATGGATGGAGCATGGACAGCTGAGTGGTGGCGCCTGGCAGAAGCAGCTCTTCATTTGTGTTGCTGTCATAACAACCTTTAAAAATTGCTGATGCTCGTTATTGTCTGCTTTGTTCATGTAGATTAGGGGTTTATCAGCCAGGGCTGGCCCTGGTGCGAGAGCCCTATCTCCGGCTCCACGCTTCCGAAATGTTTTGCTCGCTGGAAGACAATGTCTCCACCGGGCACAGATAGCCAAGCGCGGCTTTAATTATCAGCAGTTATTTGACAGCTCAGCTAATACGTTTAATAAACCTTTGCTGTTACTGTACAGAACAGAGCATCATTTGCTCTTGCCTCAGAGGGAAATCCAGGCTTCAAAAACTCTTGGATTGATTGTCTCGATTTTTGCCCAGATGGGTTTCGTGCTTTCCTCCACAGTGATTCCACTAATGCAAGCCTATTAACTTTCACATTTAAAAAGTCAAATGTTGGAATCGGATAATTTAACCATCTTATTGTTTACTTAACCAGAAAGTCCCTGAAAACTGCTAATAATCTGAGAAACAAAATTTTCTGGTGGTTGTGGGGACAGAGAACGCTGGGGCAAAGCATTCCCCATGCTCCAGGAAGGATTGCTGGGCTGAGGTTCTGCAGACAGATGTGACCCAGAATTGCTGCCAGTGGCACTTCCTTCAGCACAAAATACAAGTGGAGCTGTGTGTTCTGGACCCTGCCTAGCACATAAATCCTAGACATGATTAGATAACGGGGGCTGGCTCTGTGTGTGTGTGTGGGTTTGTTGCCTTTTTAACTTCACAGACTGTAGATGCTGATGCAGAGAATATCATTTGTCCTTTGCCAGGGTTTGCTTGGGAACTGCTGCCCCTTTGCCCGAAGGACTGTGGGGAATTGCCTGAGGTGGTGGCTGGCTGGGTTTAACTGGCGGTGCAAGCACTGGTGTGTCCTGTGGCAGTCAGGGTGCAGCTGCAGGGACCTGGGGTCTGGCAGGGCAAGCGGGGAGGGTGGTTCTCACATGAACTCACGTGGTCATCCACAGCTGACTCAGTTCAGGTTCCTCAGGCTGTTCTCTGCAGCTGGCAGGTAGTTGCAAGGGCGCAGAGAGCAGCAGGGACTCGGTTGTGTTTATTTGTCCAGTGCTTGCATTAGAGCTTGAACCCCATCCCTTGTGTGCAGTCTGCCAGTGGCTCCTCCTCTGGCACCAAAGGACTTACCACAAACCCTGGTATTCCTGGTTAAGGCCAGGTTAGCTAAGGGTCACAGGAGTCCTGGGTTTTAGGGAATAGCACATGGAATGATTCCCATGTAAGCTGACTATTTGGATTCACCTGCCAGCCACGGGGACTGTGCCAGGCTGTGGAAGCAGGTACTGGCACTGTGGGACCCAGCCAAGGCAGGGCTTGCCAAGGGCTGCAGCCTTGAATTGTGTGTTTGTCTCGATTTTTAATCATCTGGATCAGCCTCACAAGGCTCTAAGTGAGCCACGCTGCGTGCTCCAGAGTGATGGGCCCTTCAGCCATCCTAATCACTAGGAGGGCGTAACTCAAGGGCTCATCAGCTCTTCCAGGCACTTGATCTGGAAGATGAAGCTGAGCTCAGGAATACATTAATAAGCACCTTTTTGCTCTCCAGGAGTTCTCAGAAATATGCCCTTTGGACACAGCATTTTTCTGGGCCTCCTACAGACTCACCCAGCATTTTTCCACCTGATTTTTGTCCCAGTCATTCATGGCTGGCACCAGGGAGCTGTAAGTCTCTTGGCCAGAGCTTCAGAGTCTCCAGTGTTCATGAGTCCTGGGAGCTGACCAAGCACAGCCCTGATCATGCTGGATGTTCCCATGGAGGATATTCTGCTGCTTGATATTCTAGGGTTTGTGTCTCATCAGTCCCAAAGAAAATCACATCTATTCTCTGTCCCCTGCAGAACTGCACCTTCTCCTTCACTGTTACCATCTGAATGGAACACAGATCTCTCATTCTCAGCTGGTGCTTTCAGGAGAAGGAGAAGTGCCCCAACAGTCGGGTTTCTCACAAACATGATGTCGCATCATGACAGCCAAATAGTTGTGGTCTGTCCTGTTGCTCTACTGTACAAGGTTGTAGCCCTCAGAGGCTTCATGTCACCACTCTTGCTGATGAATTCTTCTAGTCATTTCCAACATCCTCTGTCAGCTTGCATCCCATCATCACCACAAGTTATAAACCAAAGAATTGTGGGGAAATAGCTCCTGCCTCATTGATCTGAGGACAGGGACCTGCAGGCATAATTCGAGGAAAGTGGCAGTGGTGCTGGCTTTGGGACACCAAAGGGGACAGAGTAAATGGCTTTCGGGTTTGGGTGCAAGAATCCGTCCAGCAGCGGCTGGAGCCTGCCCGAGTCCCAGAATTCTGGAATTTCTTCTGAAGGAAAGTTCCCCCAGTGTCCCTTGTCGTCGCTCATTTACTTTCTTGTCCTCATGCTGAGTTCCTGGAGTGTGCCAATGGAAAAGCTGGGTGCCATTTAAATCCAGCTCGGAATAAAAAGCTTTGGATGCGAGAAAGAAGTCAAACGTTAGTTCATCGCTGGAGTGCTAAAGTGTTTCTAACTTTGTATTTTGCTTCTTGCAGCAAAGTAAGACTTTCTCACTTCCCTCCCACAGCGAAAGGGAGCGTAAGGCAGACTGTCATGAGCTATTTAGCATTTTGAAATACTTGAAATAGTCAAACGCACAGCTTTTATGTTTGTGTTTTAGATGGAGAAACATTTTTAACGTCTGACGTTTTGCGAGTGTTTATTATTAATTTTCGTGTCGCTGCTCAGGGAACGATGGCGTTTGGTGTTCTGTAGCAGTTAGGTAGCACACATCAAAATGATACATTCACATCTGTGGAGAAGTCAACTTGCATCTATTTCTCTTCAGGAGAATTTGGAAGACTCAGGATGTTTTCATTAATTGCCAGCATTAATTGCCCATTAAGGGCTCAGCACACTTGAGGACTGGTGGAGGTTGTCGGTAGGACCTGAGGAATGTGGCTTTACAAGAAGATATTTTATACTGTGAATGCTCAGAGGAATTCCCTGCCTGTGGCAGCCCCTGTGTGGTATGGGTGTGGGGTCTCTGCCGTGGGACTCCTGGGGAGCCAGGTGTGCTGGTGGGCTCAGAGCAGGGCTGGGGTGTGCATGGGGGGCTCTAGTGCCATCCCCTGAAGCAGGAGTGCTGGTCCCACTGAGAGCCTGCCCAGCATTTTGGGGGAGCACAAACCAGCAGACTCAATGGAGAGGGGTCAGAGGCGCAGCCGCAGGGATGCTGGGTCAGCTGATGGCTGAGCAGCAGAGATACTTCTGTCGAGTTTCTTTAGTGAGCAGGAGATGTAACTCCTGTGGACACCAACCAGCTCCATGAGCTTCAGCCTCCCTGGTTCCCCTTTGGCAGCAGAGAACATAGAAACAAGGAGAAAGCTGACCGGATCAGCTTCGGATCGCATAGATTTAACTTTATAGCCTGGGGCTTGCGGAGCAGCAAGTCAGATCTGTCGCAGAACTCCTGGACTGCTGAAATGGCTAGTTGCTTATAATGGTCCAAATGTCTCTGCAGCTCAGTGTGGTGCCTCGGCATGGCTCAGCCCTGTCCCAGGGCACATCAGAGAGCTGGGTGCCCCCAGCATCACCAGGTCTGGGCCCAGACCCCTTCCTGCAGCAGGGCTCCTTGGGGAATGCAGAAACTTGTTTGCAATAGCCAATCTGTGTTTGCATTTCATGAGTCAAACACAGGTGAAGTCTGTATAATCCCAGTTTGGACAGGCAGTGTTGAAATTCCCTGATTTCCTTCCTAATGGCTGTGCTGGACCCTGGCTCTGCTCATTGCTTGTGCTGGCAGTTCGGCACCTTGAAGAGGCTGAGCTGCCTCTCTTGTGCTGGAACCGTAGGAAAGGTATTGTTTTTAGGAGCAAAATCCAGATGGGCCCTGCCTCACCCTGGCCCTGCCTGCTGCCCACCACCCTGCCTGTCCTTTCTCATCCCTGCCTGTCCTTTCCCATCCCTGCCCGCTGCCCTGCCTGTCCCTGCCCATCCCTGGCTATCCGTGCCCATCCCTGCCTGCTGCCCTACTTGTGCCTTCACTGCCCAGCCCATCTCTGCCCATCCCTGCCTGCTGCCCTACTTGTCCCTTCCCATCACTGCCCATCTCTGCCCATCCCTGCCTGCTGCCCTACTTGTCCCTTCCCATCACTGCCCATCTCTGCCCACTGCCCTGCCTATCCCTGCCCATCCCTCCCCGCTGCCCTGCCTGGAGCAGCTCTTCAGAGGCAGCACAGCCGCTGCTGGAACTCTGATACCTTGGCAGTTGTCATCAAAAACAATAGAAGCTTATAAACCCTTGGAAATTGATAAGGTTGTAAGTAATGCTATATGTGAGATAGAATTTCCTCAAGGGAAGTTAATAGACGTCCCTTTCTGAGCAGGTCAGCAGAAGATTTATAACAATATTAACTTTCCTGAGCCGTGGAGTCAATCACAGTGGGCTCCAGGCATAATTATATGTCTAAATATATGCCTGTGTTGCCATTCCTGGTGTCAAGACACTGAGGTGGGTTCGGCACTCACTGCCCTGTGCGCTCATCAGGGCTCAGCTGGATCATCTTCTGATCAAAGAGAGCCACTGCCACCTCTTGCCGCCTCCAAATGTGCCTATTCCGGTACCACGGAGAGAGCAGGTTGTTAATTATTTAGGGAGCAGACATTTCATCTGGAAAAGAAAAGAAAAAGAAAACCACATAAAAGGGAATTTTTGAATGAGGTGTGATAATTAAGTGCTAGTCATTGTGTATTTTTGTATCCCAATGTTATCTGAATTTTATTTTACTTTAATCTGTTTTTCCGTGGCTTTGTGGCTTGTATTGTACAAAGTTGGGAAACTGTCGAAAAAGTTGCACTCCATTATGTAAAGACTAATCCCCCATTTTTCTTTGGAATAATTTGGGGATCATGTTTATGTTCCTGGATGGGCTTTTGGTGAATCTGAAGGGAAAAGGAATTAAATGAAGGTCATGGGTTGCTGGTACCTGACAATTCACAGTATAAAGGTCTTTGAAGGATGGGACTGACTGTTAAGTATTTTTATTAATCTGTGACAGTTTACAATGACTGCAGCTTCCCTTGCTCTTTCCAAGATCAAATAATTGGAAAAATAAGAATCCTGAGATAATGATAATTCTGTCTCTATCCTGAGAAGGAGATGGCTCTGGATGGTTTATTTATTCCCCACTGGCAATTTTTCCTGGGAGTAGCAATTCGAGCAGGATAAGTTTAGCAGATTTAGTCACAACAGTGCTAAGACATGTAACTGCACTGAGAGCATCCTCCTTCCCCAGCTAGTGAAAGGCAGAAAGCTGAGGAACAGTCCTGGGCTGTCCTTTCGTGCTGCTTTTTTTTAATGAGAAATGGTAGATTTCCAAGCCGCACTATCCAAAATATCCACTGGGACCCTGTAACTGCTGCTAATTATTCCCCGTGTCTAATGTGGGATCTGCCTCAGGGTCTGCTGTTGCTCAGGCAGCAGCACGAGCCTGGGAAAGCTCATGTCTGAACATCCCTTTCCACAGAAGCCGCTCTGGGCTCCCTGAAGCCGCCGCACACGGATGGTGCCGCAGTGGTGCCATCCCCGCCGCAGCGGAGGGACTCGGACAGGTACTGCCAGCTCTGCGCAGCCTGGTTCAACAACCCCATGATGGCACAGCAGCACTACGACGGCAAAAAGCACAAGAAGAACGCGGCCAGGGCTGACCTCCTGGAGCAGCTGGGGAAGACCCTGGACCTGGGGGAGCTGAGAGGTGAGAGAGCAGCACGTGGTGAGCAGGGACCTGCTCCCTGTGGGGTCCAGTGACCCTCACCCCCTGCAGTCACTGCTCCAGTGGTGCAGAGAGCCCAGGGTGTTCTTAGTACTTCATGAGGTTCCCACTTCCGTGAAGAAAATACTCTGCTCCAGGGTGCCAGCCTGCAGTTTTAGCAGCACCATTTCAGAGTTGTTTCCTAGGTGTCTCTTTTGCCTCTTCCTAAAATAGTCCCTTCCATTAGCACACACGCCTGTCCTCGAGCAAGTGTGGCCTCTCCCTGGGAGAGGAGAACATGTTGGAGCACTTGGCCCCGTGGGGAAGCAGGGACAGGAGGATGTTGCTGGAGGCAGAGCACTCCCTACATCTCCCTGATGGAGAGCGGGACAGAGCTGTCTTCTGTGATTTAATTAGTGCTTGTAAAACACTGTGAGAGCCCTGGGTCAGCAGCAGCAAGAGGAGCTGAGCATTTGCTGCG